AATAGAAGCGATTGTCTTATCTATAAGTATCTCAAGTAGCAACCAATTTCATTTGAAATTAATTTACTTCAATACGCGAGATAAGGAATATTCTGTATGTCGCCTTACTAAAATTTATGTATACGTAAGATTTAAATTTATAATAATAATATATTTTGTTTATATCATAAGGTGGCATACGAGCGAGCGGTTACCTGAAATCGCTGAAATAGCGAAGTGACCGTTGCCCATAGATATACGCAATTGATTATATTAATTGCCTACCTTTAATATACGGAGGAAACGATGCACAGAAAGAAAACATTTTCATGCATCCTCTCATCCGGAAAGTCCACTTCCACTTCCCATCCTTTCCTTATGAGAAAAAGGGTGGAAAGGGAAAGGGGACTAAATTAGGCCTCCGGGACGCAAGTTTATAAAGAAAAGAAAGATTATATTGATTGTTTGTTTACATTGAATAGACTTTGAAACTACTGAACCGATTTGAAAAATTCTATTACTGTAATGAAGCTACACTATCCCCGGATAACATAGCCTCTATTTATTACTAGATTTCAGATCGTGTCAAATACTAATAGTAAATATTATGAATAATTATTTTCGATGAAATGGTTTAAATAAAACTATTATAAAATAAATAATATACTAACTGTCGCCCGCAACTCCGTCCGAACGGAAATAAAAATACACTTCATAAGTATCTGTTCTACATCTATGCCAAATTTCATACCATCTATCCATACAAATATTCGCTAATATTAGTAAAAATAAGATATTAACTTAATAAATTAAAAATATATGTATTATTTATTCATCGAATCGACTAGAAAACTAATCATTTACTATATAATAAGTATATTCTTAAGAACATAAATTACAGTTCAATATTAAACAATAAAAAAAAAAACACGAGCAACTTTAAATATAAAACTAATAACTCACCACGCATCACGGAATCAAATCACAGAATACTAACAAACGATTATTAAATTAAAAAAAAAACTATTCATAATAGATAAAAAAAAAATGTTATTACCAAACAACGTACGAAGGCAGAGACATTTCCCCATTCCTTACAAACTATGCCACAAACACTATTTAAAATATTTCGCAAAACACATTTCATAATAAACAATAGCAAACAACTAACTTCACTTGAATGCGTCTAATGCAGTCTTTCCCAAAGTGTGATAACGCCCCCTTGTGGGCGCTGCGAGTTTCAAGATGCGGGTTATAGTTAAAGTTTCGTTAAGAATTCTCCGTTAATATACATATATCATCATCATCAGCTCACTAGACGTGTCCCCACCGAGGGGCTCGGAGCCTATCCTAAGTTAAGGGTGACTAGGCCATAGTCAACCACGCTGGCCAAGTGCGGGTTGGTTATACATATATAGGTCACAATAATTAATTAATTTAATTTGAAGTTATAGTGGTTTTTAAATGTGAAAATATGGGGGCGCTAAAAAAATATTTATTCTCAAAGTGGGCAGTAGAAAAAATAAGTTTGGGAACCACTGATCTAATGTATAAAGTCATCGTCGATTCAATTATTATTCAATACGATTGTTTCCGAGGTAGGTGCGATAATTAGGTACAGCAAATTAAATCAACCTACTAATATAATAAATGCGAATGTTTGTATGTATGTTTGTTAGAAGGGTTGGTATGTATCTCGCTGAAATTTGGCATAGATGTAGATCACAGTCTAGAAGAACACATAGGCTACTAATTATGTTTTTTTTAACACCGCAGGGGGAGCCGCGATCGACAGCTAGTAAAATAATAAATGCGAATGTTTAGATGTATGTATGTTTGTTTGAAGGTATATCAAGAACGGCTTCATGGATTTTGCTGAAATTTGGGATAGATGTAGAACATAGTCTGGAAGAACACATAGGCTAATAATTAAGGTTTATTTTCGCACGAACGGAGGCGTGGGCAAGAGTTAGTAGAAGATAACTTAACAATGTATAGGAAATAAATTTTATAGCGACGGTCAGTTTCTTTAAGTATGAATATAATTCACCAGATTTTTTTAAGAAAAAGAAAAACGTAAAGTATCCGAGAAATGGATGTCTATAGTGTTTAGGACTTCCATTAGTCGCGTGATGCTCGAAGGAGGGGAAGGTGTCCCAAAAAAATCGCGAATCATCACCAGGTGTTGGACTAAAGTAAGAAGCTGAGACTTAAAAATGACTGAAATATACTATACTAAAATTATAAAGATTTGATTTGTACCCTTTATTTCTAGAACTAAAAAGTTATCAGCTTTGTGTCTGAAGACCATAGTTTTTGTAAGCATTTAATATGAAGGAAATCGGAACGATTGAGTTCAGTTATAAAATAACTCCTGACAATAATATTGCTGCAATGTGTTTCTTTGTAAGAATTGCTGTTTACAAAGAAAAAGGTGATGAAAAACTCTTTATTTTTTTGTTCTCAAAATACTTACTGCTGGGCACTACACTCCTAGGCACGGAGACGGTGAAGGGTCCCCAGCCCTTGATATTCCCTGCGGCGGCCCTGAAGAAGTACCGTCGGCCCCTGGTGAGCCCCGCCGCCAGCACTTTGGTGCCAGTCGTGGTGCCAGAAGCCGCCACCTCACGGAACCCGCACAGGTTAGAGAAGTCTGCTCGCGATGACCATTCCACTGAAAATGAATGAAACTATGAACTATAACTCGATTTATCGATAGCCACTAGAAAGGATCAGTTTTCTTGTATAACGACAACTAAAATTATGCACCAATATTAATTTTCGTACTCGGATATTCAGACTCCTTAATATAATTAAAAAATCTCTCTTATTCTAATTCATTTTTTCTATCTTAGCACTATGACGTCACAATTTGGCGAGTTTATGTACAACTACCTGCCACCCGTGACTTTATTAGCTTATGCGTCCTACCAGACTATCTTTATATATCTAATTCTTCTGTGAGTGTGTCACTGAACTTCTCTCAAACGACTGGACCGATTTTGATGAAATTTTTTGTGTGTGTTCAAGGGAATCTGGGAATGGTTTAGATTCACAATTTTGTCCACTGGACAATGTTTTTTTAATTAATTTTTAATTTATTAGTAGTTGTTGATTTTGGAATGTTTTACATTGAATCCGACAGACGGCGCTGCTATTGCAGTGTCAAATTTTTAATAATATTCAAATTAAAGACAGGACAACGTCTGTCGGGTCTGCTAGTGTTCTATATAGATGTCAAATCCCAGAGAGATTCATGCAGCCATCCATCCATCCATCCATCCATCTATAAATTACATTTACATGTTCGATATCCATCCATCTATAAATTACATTTATAATTACGATATTACTAAAGCATATTATAAGATAGACATTGTTTTTTAATATACCTTTGTACTTAGTTATAATAGCGTTGTCTCGTTGCGCAGAGTGTGAGAAGGTAACCGAGTGCTTGTGTTCCCTCAGCCTCACCGCGACCGCGTGCGAGCCGCACACCTCCAGCTCGGGCGCGCTGCCGCTCGGCACACGCGCTTCTTGCCAACCTAACATCAACCTTCTGCCAAACATATAGACTCATTACATCATCACCTCACTGCACATCACCACTGAGGGCTTCGGAGCATACCCTAACTTATGTGATTAGGCCATAGTCAACCACGCTGGCCCACTCGGGTTAACTTTACATATATCTTTGAAAGTGTTGGTACGATGTTCTCCGTTCACCGTAATCGTTAGATAAATGTACATATATGTAAATTGAACACAATGGTACATGGCGGGATTCGAACCCAAGACCTGCAGATTGCAAGTCAATTCCTAACTCCTGAACCAAATTCATTGGCATACGTCATTATTTCATGCGTTTGAAATACTATTAAAATGATGAGATTTTATCTAAAATGTCTTAAATATTCTATTTGCTTTACGAGCACGAGGTAAAAAGCAGATATGCGTCAATAATTGACGTTGCTAAGTAAACAGTTGGTCTCCATACTTTACATAAAAGTATGGAGATAACCAATTAAGCTTTAAATTGCCAGGGTACGAGTTCGTCAAGAAAACTTAACTAGTACAGGTACACATTATCACCACTAAGGAAGGCTTTATTGGGCACTTAACGTCTCTGCATGCGACAGTTATACTTACTTAAGTGTCCGCAACCTTCTCTCCCAGTGCTGCGCTTGTTTGTCTTTCTCCGAGCCGGTACCACCGGCGCAGCCTGTTGTACCCGCCTGACCCGCCGCTGAAGATCTTCAAATATACATACATACTTTAGAAAATGCATATATGGACTTAACACAATTATAACTGTGGGTTTCCACTGTCAAAATATTTTAGCTAGATGTCGCCCGCGACATCGTCCGCGCGGAATAAAAAAAACTTAATTAGTGGCCTATGTGTTTTTCTTAGCCATGATAAATTTCAGCGGGATCCAAGCATCCATCCAAACAATTTTATTGATAATATTAGTAAGATAATATTGTTAACTATCTAATTTTTTTATAAAAAAAACAGTGACAAAAATGTTATTCATACAAAGTTTTTGCTCACTGTTCTGTCCTCGTGTGAAACTAAATAGTGAACGCGTTTTATTAGTAAGCTATTTTATTACTCGCAAATTGTACAATAGCCTTATAAGTTTATGTTTACCTAGTACAGCTGTCCTCCCGACAATCTCGCTCCGGGTTGCATCCGCCGAAGTCGTGCAGTCGAGACTTGGCCTCGCTCGACAGCCGCCGCAAGTGTGCGCCCAGGGCATCCGGTGTTTTGACTGTAAAAAAAATATTGTATTGTTAATAACACAAGAAAATACTTAATATAAACGTACTGCAACCAAACAAAAATGAACATTTCTCTAAGCTAAGACGTACTTCAAATTATCCTACCTGTACAAAGCAATATTATCTCTCTAAAATTTTAAAAACAAAGGTGAACTTTAACTACGGAAAGTTTTTAGTATAAACAACGCCCTTTCTTCGTAATATCTATCACTTGCTGTCGCCCGTGGTTCCGTACGCGCGGTATTAATAAAATATAATTAGTAGCCAATGTGTTCTTCTAGACTATGTTCTATATGTATGCCAAATTTCATCGTTTCACCGTTATGAAGATACCTTCAAACAAAAATCCATCCATACATCTAAACATTCGCATTTGGATTTCAATGGATGGATTTAAGTATTACAATAGCTTGGAGGATCGTCCGTCACCGAGGGCGAGGCTAAACAAAAACAAATCACTGTCAAGTGTAACGAATGCGCTTCCTTTGATAAGTCAAGAGAAAAGAAAGCCTCTAGTATTCGCTATCTCTAAGTACTATTTATCAACACCCCGATTGACACGCGTCCCAGATTAGATTGCACAAGATTTCACGGACCATTATCGTTTTAAATACAAAGAAATGCGCCTCTATCATTGTTTTAAACCTAAATTAAGTTGGCTGAATTCATCAAGCAGACAACGTAATTTATATTGACCACAAGACGACCAATCGATTCGGAAAATTATTTTAATATCATACTAATATTATAAATGCGAATGTTTAGATGGATTCGATGAATGTTTATTTGAAGGTATCTCCAAGAACGGATGCATGTATCTTGTTGAAATTTGGCATAGATGTAGTACATAATCTGGAAGAACACATACGCTACTAATATTTTTTTTAATTCCGCGCGGACGGAGTCGCTGTCAACCATCAGTAGTTTCATAATTTTATCCTAACTCAAGGAAATAAAACGTTATAATTTACGATTGAATTAAAGTTTATTTCAATTTTTTTTACTACAAAAAAAAACATCCGCCTTTCTATATAAATTTCTAGACTTTTTTATTTTAATCCAGTTTTATGGTTGAATTATATAACAAAGATCCCATAACGACATAATATTTTACGAGTAGAGTTTAGAATAGCTATGTTATTTGAAAGAGTCCAGAAAGCGTCCGGAATATTCGATGTTGTTCAATTTTGTAAAAAGCTTTCATATCCGTAAAGAAATGTAGAAGTACGTGGAAAATATTTTTCTATTTCAATATTCATTTTATTCTAAATGGCAATACAGTAACGAACGACCGATAAATATTAGAAAAAAAAAACATTTTTTTGAGTGGAGCTATTTTTTTAAATCCTTAAAGATACTCTTTCATATTTTTTTATCTAGAAAAAATATTCTTCAAGAATCATCTTACTAATATTATAAATGCGAATGTTTGCATGGATGTTTGTTTGAAGGTATCCCCAGAACGGCTCAACGGATATCAATGAATTTGGCATACATATACACTCTGGAACGCATAGGCTACTAATTAAGTTTTTCTTTTATTCCGCGGGGACAGACTCACGGGGGACAGCTAGTATGAGATAAGTAGATCGATACTGATTCGATTTGAGATTAAAAAGATATGGTGAAATGGAATGTCGGGTGAAGGTTTAAAGGAAATCTTAATGTGACTTTTAAATTGGTATATCAATCTATCACGTTTTCCTATTTTAGATACTAAAGGTTAAACTTAACGACGATATTTAGGTGTTATTCTGAAAATGTTATATACATTCTTAGTTCTATATGAAAAAAAGTATATAATGCTTTCAATCCTTTTTATGTTAGTAATACGAGGAAAACGATAATATTTACAGGGATTACTGTTCAAATCTTAGTGTTATTTCTCGTGCTAAACACGAAGTATTACCTTAGTGGAAAAATACCTTAATAACGTGATAAAGACCGAGCATCATGTTATTAATCTTACTAATATTATAAATGCGAATGTTTGTATGGATGGATGTTTGTTTGTAGATATCTCCAGAACGGTTGCATATACCTCTATGAAATTTGGCGTAGATGTAGAACATATTCCGAATGAACACATAACCTACAAAATTTTTTTTTTAATTTCGCGCAGACGGAGTTGCGGGCGACAGCTAGTTAGATTATAAAAGTTCATACTAATACTAAGAACTTTTGTTTGTAATAATGATGCAAAAGAAAACGAGAGACGACAGCCTTAAGTGCTGATATAACCAATTTAAAGTAATCTTATCTTAACGCTTTAGTTATCAAATAAGTCTTCACGTGATTAAATAAATGAAACAATGTATATGTCACCGCTCGATTGTAAATTTCGACAATTTGTATGTTAATTAGACAGAATCAAAACGACAAAAAGTTCATATATGTATGAATAAACACTGCCCCTTCCCGCTCTCTTCTTCATTTAGAAATTATCTATTTCAAATTGTTAATTTCAATAATAGCCATAGAAAGATATTACGAAAAGAATAAAATGTGCATTTCGTTTAATAGTAATAGTTAATATAGTTAGATAATAATTTACCGAAGTTCACAATCGGTAGGCAACATAGTAAGTATAAAAACTGTCTAGTCATCAAGCAACGCCCGAATTATTCTGTTTACATTCCTTCCGAGTAACAGATAAAACGCCTCCGTCTACAGACGTATCTTTTTATTTGGATAAAGATCGAGCATCAAATTAGGTACTTAGGATTTACAGAGCGCTAGAAAACATTAAGAATTGGAAGAAACGCTGTTTTATAACACCAAAGCATACAACTTTGCTAAGTTTAAAATTAGCAGAACAGAGTTTTTGTAACATATAAAGGACTTAAACAAAGGTCTAATTAAATCAAAACAAAAATAACTTTATTAACCTTATCTTCTTTAACTGTAAGTATCCTGAAGTGCGTGCGGCTCGCTCAGTGGAAAATGGGTTAAATATGTCGTAAACAGCTCTAATAGTTTACTATGTAACATATCACTCAAATATCGCATGTCTCCGTGTTATTAAATTTTTATTTTACGATTTCGCAGAGAAAACATGTGTGGTACAATGCATGATTATCTATTTAATTGAATTGTTTCTTTTTTAAATGTTAAAATTGGCTATGGATTTGCGTGCAGATGAATCGATGTTTAAATATTTCGTATCAGAAATCAAAATAAATAAATCGTATGGACAATAAATTTATTCGTGACATAAATTCACGTGCATTTATGATTTGGTCAATATCTCTGTATGAAAAAATTGATTCGTACAGAACTTCGAATTAATTTTCCAAAAGACTGGTACGTTTTAAATACATTTTATAAATAAAAGAATATTACTTTTACTATAGAGAAACTGCGGCAGTCTAATCAAATTCATACATTGAGTTTTATTTCATACGAACAAACGAAGTTTGAAAGAGTCGATGCAAATTCACTTTTCAATATTTTACAATTTTAGAGCAGTTTGGTTAACCAGGGGTTACCACGAAATTTATCGATTTAAGCAACTGATTTGCGACGTATCCGAAAGACGGATATTTTTTTATAACAGACGGGGGCAAACGAGCAGCGGGAACACTGAGTTATTCAACGTTACCCATGGACATCAGCAATACCAGAGGAACCGCAGATGCGTTGCCTGCCGGCTTTTAAGATGGTGATACGTTCGCTTCTTGAACGACCCTGAGTCATAAACGTAAAGTCTCCGTGGTGTCTAGAATTTCTCACCGTGGAAACGTGCTTTAATAAACATAGACAAGAAATGTACTTATCTGTATTACATTCTAGGGCAAACCTGTCCAAATATTTACTACACCTTTAAACATTAAAAAGTTTTAAAGCCCTGACGAATATCTTTCCGTTTTTTTTGCGGACAGTATAAGTGTAAGGGCGAGGTTACATTCGTGACACGCGATGCTTTTAAATACTTTTAGTGAGACACAATACGAAGCAGCGGGGGGCATAATGGACCTCGCATATTAACACACTTCGATAAGGCCGCTGTTTTTTATGATAGGCTATTGTACAAGTCTGTGATAACCACGAAATATTTTTCTTTTATATAATACTTTTATTATGAACACTACACTAGATTTTAGATTTTTTTAACTAGAAATAATGCTGTGCTTAAGGTACAAATTCTATCAGAGAAATTTAGATTTGGAAAGATACAAAATAAAATAAAAGTACCGAAACGAATACAAACTTACTAATATAAATGCGCATGTTTGAATGGATGGATGTTTGATATGTGTATCTTCAGAACGGCTGGACGGATCTCGATGAAATATGGACTACATATAGATCATAGTCTGGAAGAAAACATAGGCTTACTAATGTGTTTTTTTTAATTCCGCACGCTCAGAGTCGCTGTCGAAAGCTAGTAAAAGAATAAAGTTTTGCTTCCAAACAGTTTTCATAAACTAAAGTGGTCTTATTGTCTGTTTGTTCATTAGTATAGATTAAGATACGATAAAACGTTGTTTATGGTAAGGTATTCCCCTACATCCATCATAGATAAAGACCCATTTCTGTCATTATATTGATGGATCAATTTTAAAGTGAAAACCCTTATAATGTAACGTTTGAGAAGATATCAATACGATTGCTTGTTGTAAATGTAACTTTCGGAACCAGAAAATTTTCTAATAACATTGATAATCGATATTAAGGTGAACAAACTATTGATACCTGTAACGTATCACAAAATAGATTTAATCTGTTTTGCAGCTGTAGGTATTATAAGGTTCAAATAATTATAGCGACTTGTTTGATAAAGCATGACTGCGGATGGATGAAAACAATCCTGAAAATAGTGTCGAGCAAAATTACAAGCCACTATAAAGTTTGAATGGTACTATACCTAGTTACTAGTATTCGTATTTATATTTTATACTCACACTGGGATCCCTCTTTGGCACCAAACTCCATGAGCATTCTTGCGAGTTGTCTATTGTTGGCCAACACCGCCACGTCCAATGGTGATAGACCGTCTGGGTTAAGACTGGAAACCAAAACACTTATATTATGGATAGAAATATTACTTCTTACTAATATTATAAATGCGAAAGTTAAGACGGATGGATGGTTGTTAGAAGTTATCTCCAGAATGACTGAACGGAACGCAATGAAATTTAGCACAGACGTAGAACATAGTCTGGAAGAACACATACGCTAATTAAGTTTTTTTTTATTCCGCCCCAACGAAGTCACAGGACAGCTGGTATCCACAAATTTTTTTTTGGCTAGTTTATGAATTTGGGAGTGCTTGTCTTTTGGCATCCGTAATTGCTCGCCGGTATTTAATACTATGATGAATATTAAAAAAAAAACATAATTTTTATCTGATTGTAAAAGAGGATATGCGTAAGATGGTGGTGAATTCAGATATAATAGCTGATAGAGATGTACGGAGGAGTACATACCGACCTTCCGTAGGGATAAGGGCAGGTTGATAATGATAATTCTTATCAATTCATTCTAATGTTATTAACACATCTGATAGTTATATGGTCATTTATATAGGTATGTAGTATAAAGTAATTTATATAATAAACAATGTATGTTATTATGTATAATTATGTAATGAGGTTTACCTGTTGACGTCCACATCTGTGGACTCGAGGATATTGCGAGCCTTGTCCAGGTAGCCATGTTCAACTGCAGCAAACAATGCTGAAACAAATGCAAATTCATAAAACTTGCTGTTCTATGTATCTTTTTTATTATTTTTAATCTATTTCCTTTAACTTTAACATATCTCACGATCGCAGTAACAATTGAGAAACTTGATTAAGATGGTGATTATTATAGTACATTTTTACCACGACCACAAAGTCAGCCGTGAAGTGTAAGCAATTCCGTGTTTCGTCTGATGAGTGTGCATCCCGGAGGCCTAATTTAGTCCTCTTTCCCTTCCCCCCTTTTTCTAATAAGGAAAGGATGGGAAGTGGAATTTTCGGTTGAGAGGATGCATGGAAAGGGAAAATATTTTCTTTCTGTGCATCATCTCCTCCGTGGATTAAAGGTAGGTAACGCATATGCAATTGCGTATGTTCGCTATTTCAGCGATTTCAGTTGGCCGCTCGCTCGGGCACAGTTGTAGAACACACTTTGGAAGAATACATAGGCTACTTATATTTTATTTTATAATAATTCTGCATGGGCGGAGTCGCAGGCGACAGCTAGTCTTCATATTTCAGGTGTACTGTTTTCAATTATGTCATATTGTCGTAAAATAAGAGAAATGATCGATGACAAATCTTGTCTCAGTAGGTTATCAAGGGATTAAGTAACCGTGACAAATTTGAAGAAAGGTTCGTATTTTGTTTTTTATCTTGCAGTGTCAATGCTCAGCCCTGATTCTGTCAGTGTTGATTTCCACTGAAGAAATATTCGCATGCTCGTATGCTCTCTCGCTCTATAGCGTCGGTGGCTCAGCGGTTAAGCATTTGACTTGCAATTTGCAGATCCTGGGTTCGAATCCCGTCATGTACCAATGTGTTTTCCGATTAACATATGTACATTTATCCGACGTTCTTACGGTGAAGGAAAACATTGTGATGCAACCTGCACATATCTGAGAAGAAATTCAAAGATGTGTGTAGTCAACCCGCATTAGGCCAGCGTGGTTGACTATGGCCTAATCACGCTTAACTTAGGCAGGCCCCGAGCCCCTTGGTGGAAACGTTCGGCGTAGTGAGCTGATGACGATGATGCTCTCGTGTCGCACGTATGAACATTTATTTCTTAAATATTTTATAACGTCTAAAGTCTATGTTACTCAGTGATGATGTAGTCTTGTAATATCAAATTCATTTTTGAAAATAAATTTATAGTTTAGTAGTTTTAGAGTTTATTTATAGTATATAAATGTGTTGAAATACAATGTTTCCTTTCCTTGTTATAATATTATTTTATAGTCATTTGCGTAGTTGAATTAAGGAAAATTGCGGTTAAAATAATGATCATTAGATTTAATTACTAAATTTCGACATCAAAATATTTAATTTGTCAAACATTTCAGCCTCTGCGTTTTTACAAAATTATATGAAAACCAAAATATAAAAATTCTAAAACGGAAAAGAAACAAAGAATTAAAAGAAAAAAAAACAAAATACCCTGCAAATGTATGTTAACTTGTGCGAGCTTGTTTTGGTGCGCGCGCGCATCCCTTTGCTGTCGCCGCGCCGCCTTGTCGAGCGTGGCGGGGAGCGGGGCGCAGGCGCTTAGCGACGGCAGCTCCCCCGCGCACCCCTCCAGCAGCCCGCCGTACTGCAGCTCTAGAGGACAAGGCATCAAAAAAAAAAATAAAGAAAAAAACAACAAAAAAAATCAAAACATATAAAATTAAAATATAGAAAGAATATTATAAATACTAAAAAAAAAATAATTAGGCATCTGTTGAAAAGAAATCGTTAAATCTACGAAATATCTGAAAAATATTTGTTAACTAACAATAGTGAGAAAAATCTTAGTGTTTTTATTCGAAAAAAAAACAATTCTCGTTACGACTCTTGGATACGCAGATGAAAATATTTTTACAATTTTTATTGTAAAAATATATAACTGACAAAATCCTGTGACATTTTCCTTTAACTATTAGCACGGGTGTTTAATTTAATGAAACTGGGAACAGGGGCTGTAAGAAGAGCTTACGAAGGATCTCAACGTAATTGACAAAATTGCCCTCCTCCATCAAATTAAATTAGTCTTAACACGTAGTTATAAAATCTTGTAGGCAAAACTATAATATTAGAATTAATTTTAATGTTGGAAGATAAATATATTGATATTATTAAAACGTTCATAACAATTGTATACTAGGTTTAAAAGATGCCAAAAAACATCTATACATATTTTGTATTTAGCATAAATTTAAGTTGTAAGTCTCCAATTTTAATTAAACCTCCTATAAATAATATAAATCTTATTAATGACCTTTTCTATTACATTTTTAGCTCTATGGTTTTACCAAAGCAATGGACCTTCAACGCACCAGTTTTGAATTGTCAAAAATGACGACAAGGTTCGATCCTAACCTCGAATATCAATAGCCTTATTTGGCAGCAGTCACATTACGATTAGGCTTGCAGTCAAAGCAAGGTGAACTGTCCACACTAAGGAATACATATAAGATTTATGCACGTGTCGGAAACATATATTATAAATAAGTTGTGATAATGATTGCTACATCTATAAACAGTCAAGTCTCTTAATGTTGAATTAATCAATATTTATCTGTGTTAAGTTTTAACATGGTAACTTTGAAATTACCTATGGTATTGGGAACTTTTTTTTGACAATATAACTTTAAAAAAAGGAAAGGTTACAAGGCTTCATCGTTAAACTTACACAACGATGTAGGACGTATAACCTAAATATGAAAGCGCCTACTATTTTAGTATTTGTATGCTAAGACACAGTAGCAAGCGATGAGAAACTTGAAGTTACACACGTCTGACTTAAAGATATAGTCACCCATTCCCTCTATAAATATCGTTTATTAATCCATGAATAAAACACATCCGTTGTCAAGCTATCATTTTCCAGTAAACTGTGTAGGTGAAAGGTTTCCATTGTTCGGTACGGCACGATATTGTTTCCAGGACTCGTGACTGCGTGAGTTTACATCGCGTGGCTCATCGTTACTTAACGCACGTACTTACGGCAAAAACACTGAAAGCAATAGTGATGTGCTTGTATCGCCTGACACACGCGGCGGAAGTCGAGAGGCGAACGAGGCCGCGCGGAACACGGCTCAACCTAAATTGGTCATCTAGTCCGACTACTATCGGAAGTTACCACCATAACTCACTGCTTACTTGGAACTTCGAATGATCACGGCTGGGAAATAGAAACTTAGACGGTTTTCTGACGTTTGTAATTTTAATCTGTATTATGACACACACGGAAACAACTGGGAGTTAAGGATTAAAAAAAATAATTAAAATCATACTGGCTGCTTAGAATACACAAAAAATTTAAAAAGTTTAAATTTGGAACTGACCGCAAGTAAAGAAATCGACCATGTCACTCCATTGCAGTATCATTGTTGCAACTGAGGAGGTCGCACGGTTTCGGAGCTCTCCGCGCCATTGTATGTGCCTATCTCAATCTGTGTCGTCATCGTTTAACATCTCGCTCTTTGGGAAAGTGGAGGTGTCTAACTGGAGTGCAAGTTCATTGTTTTTTTATACCGAGATAGCATTGTCTGAAATCTTTGACGAAGTCGAATACTGACAGGTATCGACAAACAAAACAAGAACCACGATGATCTGTTACGATTGACATTGTTATTGTTTTCAATTCAGATTACTCATTGAGTTAGTATTTACGAGATACTTTAGTTAAAGATAAATAATCATTTCGTAAACAGAATTATCCCTTAGACACGCAGACTCAGCGGGTCTAGATAAATTGACAGTCAAAAACGTTGAGCCATTGTAGATAAAAAGGAAACACTAACAACGAAAGGACGCTTAATAAGGGAGAAGGGAACGTCAAATAACTGACAAGGAGTGCTTAGGTTTTTAGATTAAACACCCTGTAAATTCGAGCGCCGGTGGCTCAGTGGTCAAGCACTTGACTTGCAATCTGCAGGTCCTGGGTTCGAATCCCGCCATGTACCAATGTGTTTTTCGATTTTACGAATTACATATGTACATTTATCCGACGTTCTTACGGTGAAGGAAAACATCGTGATGCAACCTGCACATATCTGAGAAGTAATTCAAAGATATGTGTGAAGTCAACCAACCCGCACTTGGCCAGCGTGGTTGACTATGGCCTAATCACCCTTAACTTAGGGTAGGCTCCGAGCTCCTCGGTGGGGACGTATAGTGAGCTGATGATGATGACCCTGTAAATTATTCTAAACGAAAATTGTAAAGCTCTCCCCACACCGGCGATTGTTTACGCAGTTATATAAGATCGTGTGACACTACCTTTGTTTGTAGTTAGTCAACAAAAATGACAAATATGCTAAATAATTATAATAAACAATAATGAGAATATAATACAAAGATTCGTATCTTAATTGTGTCAAGTTGCGGTAATCAAAATTGTTGAAATATTATAATTATTAGTCGTCGAGTCGAGTTAAAATTACTTTTAGTAGAGGTCATAAAATACCTCACAGATACGTAGGATTGAGAAGATATTTTCTGTTTTAAAGTTACTGTATTTCTGAAATATTATGTGTACCATGGTAATCTTATAAAAGTTAATTGACTTGGGATTTCAAACTACATATTTCTAGAAAATCACTATATCTAATTTAAAATGAAACGCAAGCTTTAAAAATAACTGTATTATTTGCAATTTGAGTTTTTATTGATGTTATATTATAAAATTTACTTTCTTATACAGAGTTATTCACAATAACTATTCCATGAAAAGTCAAAATGTCGCTAGCGTAGATATTGACATGTTTGGGTGGAATTATTCATCCTTTCAAACAATACACATAACTCGGTCTTTAGCAAAGATAATTACGATTAAGGTGACATAGTACATAATATTTCTAATGTAGTCATGGTACATATGTACTTTGTGTTTATTTTCACGGAATGTTAATTCATATTTATATATTACATACTTTAGAATTTAGATATCATCAGCCATTTCACGAATTAATCTGCTTCACTTTATCATTTCATGCTTTGTCAACATTTGAACATAGTGATGAATTATCATTTGATATTTATTATTCATTGTTTAAATATTTTTGGGTTTTTAATGCATACGTAGACATTTTTTTAGTTCTATGTTCCATTTAGTACTGTAGCCTGAATGCTTAACCGTGGGTTTCCGAGACCATAATATCCATTTAAAACATATTGTTACCTCCGTTTCATATAGAGATATTTATTACAGAAATCAACGGTAGACCGACTTCGAATGGATTATTCGATTCAATTTATTACATTTTTAATATGTTTAATTTTGTGTCGTGCAAAAAACTATACATGGTTTACGAGTGTGCGTTTGTCGCATGGGTTTTGTCATAAATTTTACTCTTTTGTTCGTATCATTCCCACGAGCAGACGGTGAAATGTTCGCATTTCTACACTCTACCACAATACGATTGTTCTCTATTTCTTACAGCACCAGAGGATTGATGTAAGAGCGATATAACTTGATACAACTTACGCATTGTTTTAATAGATTTATAACATCCCAGCGGATTAAAAAGTAATCTTACTTCTTACTAATATTACAAATGCTTAGATGGATGTTTGTCTGAAAGTATCTCTAGAACGCGTGCATGGATCTCGCTGAAATTTGGCATAGATGTAGAACATAGCCTGGAAGATCACATAGGCTACTTCTTAAGTTTGTTTTTAATTCCTCGCGGACAGAGTCGCGAGAGACAGCTTAATATAATTATAATAAATTAATTTAAAGACAAGATGTGTCTATAAAAATTAATAATCCACAATCGCGATGCCCTGATTTTATGTTAAAATAATGCATAGTTAAACGTAATTACGACAGACAACTAAAGGAATTTTAATCATCATCTAGTTTCACAAAGGTAAGTGTTAAACAAAGTCGAATAGTAACACTAAACTTTCGACATCCTGTTATGTCGCATTCAATGGCGCGTGTATAATTTGTGAGCCACTTAAATGCTTGCGAAGTTATTATTTCAGCATATACTAAAGAGTATGTACGTAAAGTAGTTAACTACCACGGATAATATTATAATACTCATTTAATATTAATTATAATGACGTCATCAAAATAGTAAAAGGGCGATAGTGAATATTCTAAATTTAAAAACTTAAAGACATAACTATCATTATATAAAATCATACGTAAAAGAAGGAAGAGGAGAGGAATGCACAATGAAATGAAACAAAACATCATGTAAATAACAAGAAGCATGCGAGAAAGACGTCACAATTGTAGTCAAAAAGCTGAAAAGGAAATCAGCGATAAGAAAAATGGTCTAAAAAATCTGTCATGCATACATGAAAACAAGGAAAGGAAAATAGACAGACCATGTATTTAATGGGTCGACGGGATAAAAACCGCAGCGGATTGTGAATGGACCAGCACAGAAAGCGACAGAATGCTATGGTCCAAAATGGAGGAGGCATTTGTCAACTTGACAGACGAACCATTATTGTTTACATACCTTTATACTATGTTGTCTGAATAAAAGCTTAAGTTAAATTGGTAATTAAAATAAAATTAATTTAACCCAGTACTTATTAAATTACACCCCTTCCTCGTCATATATGTTTTACTTCACAATCTTGTTTTTGCACTTTGC